GTTTAACCCCCGGTAACCTAATATTTTGCTGTTGGTGATCCAGGGGTGAATAAGGAGCCAGTCTTCCCATTTTAAATTTAATTTCTCACAGTCGGGTTAAGGAAGTCAGATGTGTGGTACTGAGAACAGTGAACTCTTTTTTCTTTCTTTCTTTTTTTTTTTTTTTTTTTTTTTTAATTTTTTTTATGTTTTTGCTATAGGGCACATGTGCTTGCTGGAGATACTGAAAAAGAGAGAGAAAAAGTGAGAAACCATGCCCTGCAGGGATGGCCGCGCTGCAGTCCCTTCATTCTCCTCTCAGGATTTTGAGCATGCACACGTGCCCTTTTTGATTTTCAAGCCTCTGGATCTGGGACTCAAACTGTGGTCCATCATGTGGGAGCCCCATGCTTTAACCACTCTGCCACCTGCTGGCTCTAACAGTGAACTCAAAAAATTTCTTAGAGTTCCTTTTTCTTACCTTGGGGTTACACTCACTCTTTGGATTTTGAATCCTAGGAAGGCACTCCGCTTAACCTTGTAGCAGTCAGAATTCAGTCCATCGTCACACCTTTTGGCGGAGTGCTTGTTTTTAAAAACAGTATACTTAGACTAAGAACTTCTATGCCGTCATTTTGGGGTATCTCTAAAGTAGAGGAACACAGGTTCCTAGAGCAACTACGTGGTTCAAGAAAGAGTCATGTGCCCAGTGTTTCCACAGCTTGCTTTGGGCTCACCTCAGTGTTTGGAACCCTAATGTCAGTCATGGGGCTTAAGAACCCCTGACCATGGACATGAAAGGGTTTCAGGTTAGCCCTGTGAGATGTGTCTCAGAGATACCTCACAAGCTGTGGGCTGGTCAGTAATTAACGACAGACCCTGTTGCAGAAGAGCATACTGCTTCTTGGCAGGCTGAGGCCACTGGAAGGCCCAGGGTCAGCTCTCAGCCCACCCACAAAGCTGAGAGTGATGGTTCCACCTGTACTCTCAGCTACTCAGGAGGCTGAGGAGGAGGACTGCAACAGAGCAAGACCCCATTTGAAAAGTAACTATTAATAACAGTAGTGATAATATTATTAGTAGTTAACATTGTTACTAAGATTAGGAGCTGGGGCCAGCAGGTGGTGTGGTGGTTAGGGCATTGGACACTCCCACGTGGCCATCAGCAGTTCGAGCCCCAGACCTGGTGGCTTGCTTTCTCACTTTCCCTTTCTCTCTGTGTCTCTCTTTGGTTAAACTAAAATAGATGAATCAATAAATAAAATTAAATAAATAATTCTTTAAAAAAAAGATTAGGAGCTATGTGGGGACTTATTGTTCATAGAGTTAGCATCTCTGTACAGATGTTCAAGGCATAACTGTGGCTGTTGCTCTTGGGGGGTTGATATACTCTATTTTTATGTATAAATCTCAAAAGAAAAGAGTGAATATCATTTGGGGAGTTGAATTTGCAGTTTAATATGACAACTAATTTAGCTACAGAAAATGTATTAAGGCAAATTGAAAATGCACATTATGTGAAAAAAGAAAAATAACAGTATTAAGTAAAACGAGATCAAAGGCAGTGGTGTAAAAAAGATGACGAGGTGGCTTGGGAAAGTGAGCTGTGTTTTAGAGGGAGAAATCATGTGAAAGAATGCAAAAGAATGTAAAAATCTGAAGTAGCTATTTCGTAAAGTATTACAGGTTGAAAGAATGATCTCTAACTTTATTTTTGGAATTTCAGGGGCTGCTTGGATGGGGTTATTACTTGATAATGCTTCCATTCCGGTTTACCTATTACACAATACTCGATATATTTAGGTATGTATATACCTTTGTACTTTTGCTTTAGTAGCAGAAGGGTAGATTTGGGAGCTGAAACTTAGACCAGAATATGGTTTAAACTGTACCAATTTTGACATGCCAGTTTGTCATCAGATTGCATATTCTTTCTGAACTGTGTTTTAATGTAGTATAAAAAAATTTTAGATTGTTCAAGCATAGCAGCATTGTTAAGAAGCAGAATTGTTTTAAGTTAGCTTGCCTATCGTTTGCAGGAATCTCCCTACATTGATTGGTCTCCCCTCCCCCCATGTTTGTCACCTGTACATTCCCTGGTTAATCTCCATGCCTTTTCCTTTCTAACCATTACCTCATAGTGCCACACTCCTGAGAACTTTACCCTGAGCCACTTCTCCTCCATCTGACTACTGTAATCCCAACAGATTCTCTTGCCCTGAGATTGTGCTCTGCCGTCGGTTTCTCCCACCGTAGTTCTACCTCTCTAGACATCTACATTTCACTGGGCCCCAGCAGCTCCTGGGCTGCTCACACTGCGACTCTCATACATACACCCACTGGCTTCGCACCTTCACCTTTCTCACTTCCTTCACACATCTTTTTAAAAGTTCACCGTTGGAAGCAGCAGGGCCCGAGGCTAGAAAATGTTGAGTGGGGCCTGTTTCCTGGCACATCAGATTGGGGCATCCAGAGCCTCACTAACCCGTGTGGGGAGCTGCAGTGTGACTCAGGCAGGCCGAGCAGGAGCGGGATCTGGGCCTTCAGTGCCGGGCTGCCTTGACTTCCCTCCAAATATGGGACAGCCTTTGACCTGCTCCAGGGGGCAGAGACAGAGGGGAGGGCCCCGCAACTGCAGAGGTACCAAGACCAGATAATACCTTTTGTCTTAGCCTCTTGTTGTTTTATAAAACTGGCTATTCAGTGGCTTTCTTGCTTTGACAAAGTTTTTCATGGTCACCAAGTAATTGCCCGGTACTCTTGCCATCCCTGTTTTATTCAGGGATGGCCAAGTGATCAACTTCAAAATCCTAATGAAGAGAGAACCAGCAGTTAGTGTAATGGCTATGTCGCTGGACTCCCACGTAGTCGACCGCGGTTCGCATCCTGGACCCGGTGGCTTAAAACTCACACTGGGCGTGTGTGTGTGCGTGCCCAAGATCCCAAGAGGAGAATGGAGGAGAAGGGATTGCAGTGTGACCATCCCCCCTGGGGGTGATTTCTCGCTTTCTGTCTCTATGTCTCTCTCTGTCTGTCCGGGAAGCACACGCGCCCTATAGTGAAAAAAAAAAAAAATTGTAATGAAGAGAATTGACATCTTTCTAACCAGTTGTCCTAAATTGTGTGGGTTGTGGGAATATATCGTAATGACAAAAAAATTAAAGTCTTTTTAAAAGAGATGATCCTAGAATACTTAGTAGAGAACAGTCAAAATACCAATCTTCTGAAGGCTCTCTAGTCACTTTTCCACATAACGCAACTTCTTTTTGGTTTAGTTTTTGCTAAAAGGTATATACACTTGCCAGAGAGAGAGGAAGAGGGAAAATGAGAAATCATCCCCGTAACGGGACCAGCAGTTAGCATAATGGCTATGTCGATGGACTCCCATGTAGTCGATCGCGGTTTGCTTCCTGGACCCGGTGGCTTAAATTCAGGCCAGGCGCGTGTGCGTACGTGCCCAAGATCCCGAGGGGAGGATGGAGGGGAGGGGAAGGGATGGTGGCGTGGCCATTCCCCTTGGGGGTGATTTCTCACTTTCTGTCTCTCTGTCTGTCTCTGGCTGGCTGGCGAGCACACACACCCTATAGCAAAAACCGCTCAAAAAAAAAAAAAGAAATCACCCCCCTCAGGGAGGATAGCCATGCTTCAATCCCTTCTCCACTCTCCTCTTAGCATTTTGAGCATACATGCACACGCACCCAGCATGATTTTTCAGACTAGCAGGTCTGGGACTTGAACCCTGGTGGGCCATGTGGGATCTAGCACCCCAACCACCCACCACTGGCTGGCCCCCACATATGCAACTTCTTACATTTTGCATCTTTAATTTATTCTGCAATGTTGGTGTCAACAAATTTGATTTGGTTACTCAGAATACCAAGTAGAATTGTACATACCTGGGGATGTGTCAAGGGAATAGAAACTGGCTTAGGATCTGGTAAGGAGTGTCATAGGTTAGTCACCTTTTCTGTGCTGAAAAATTTTCAAGTAAATGAATATTGTTTGCTTTCCTCTGGGAAAATATGCATGGCATGTGTTACTAATTTTAACACAGCTGTATCGGTAAGCAGTGTGTTTGATGTTAAGGAGCACATTGGCCTCTACCTGCTGCCCTCTGTGGAGACCCAGAGGGTAGGTAAATGATCTCTGCAGATAGGAGACGATGGGCTCCTCAGGAAGACCGCGGTGCCGTCAGGGAACAGGCGCCTCCCTAGCTCCACAGCAGCTGCCCGTGCTCCACATCTGCCAGTGTCCTCTGAATCAGCTTTATAACTTCCTCCATGGCTGCCATCAGCTCATAAATCAGCAAGCAAAATGTACTTGTTCCTCGAAGAGCAAGTAGACCAGGACTGCAAATTCAGGTTTTACGTTTTTGTCCATAATTTGAATAGCTTAGAAGTATGAAGTAGATATTCAACTCTCAGGACAGCAACAGAAAGGGGGAAAGGCAAGTAGAACATCCAGAAAGAGACCCCACCTAGACCCCATTCTAGAGCAGTCTCCCAGCGGGGCTTCCTGTGAGGTGGAGTGTTCAGTCTGGAAGGCAGGAACTGCCTGTGACTGCCGGGCTGCGGAATGCAGCTGGTGTGGTGAGAAACGGGATTTTAGTTGTAGTCAATAAATCTAAACACAAACTAGCCACATGCAGCTGGTGACACTTGTATTGGACAGCACTGTTCTGCTCTGGAGAGTTGGGGCAGCATGTCCCATCATCTTTCTGGATACTGTGTCTCCCTTCTCCAGCCCTTTTAGCCCTAAGTTTCCTGCAGAGAACACGCCGTGTTTATTAGGCCAGTGGTGGAACTGATACTTTAGTGGTTTGTGGTCTGCACAGGCAGTGGAACGACACTTGCTGCTTTGTAGCATTTGAGGCCTGCTCGTTGTCAGTTTGGTGGTCCACTCACAGGCCGTCCCCACCCTTTCCTGCCATGCCGCTGGCTCAGAATTAGGACTCTGCGCACGCTGGCCCACCCCGTGTGCACAACAGTAAGCTGGATTCATGTGATATTTATTCCTTCCTCCCCAGGTTTGCTCTTCGCTTTATACGGCCTGACCCTCGCAGCCGGGTCACTGACCCCGTTGGGGACATTGTTTCATTTATGCACTCTTTTGAAGAGAAATATGGGAGGGCACACCCTGTCTTCTACCAGGGAACGTACAGCCAGGTCAGTGCCACACACCACATAGATGCCAACTGACTGGTAGATCCTGTCCTCAGAGGAAAGCGTAGCCCAGCACTGATTGCGTCATTTTTTCCCTCCGAACCTGACAGCTTGTCATTGCTTACAGGAAAAAACAAGCAAGATAAAGCAAAGCAAAAGCTTTTTAGCTGGGCTGTCCTTGATCCAATCCCATCCTTTTTTTGAGGTCTTTTCTGCATAACTTGTTGGACTACACCCTAGGTTCCCACTACACCGTTCCCTGAACACGCTGCACGCCCACCCCGCACCTGTGCTTTGCTGGCCCCACCTGGAATGCCTGCCTCACCTTTAGCTTGTTGGGCTCTTTCCCCTCCTTCAGCCAGCTCACGTCATTCCCTCCTTCAGCCATTCCTGATTGTAGTGTCCTGTCCTGCCTGCCTAGCAACCTCAAATAGGAGTCTTTCCTTTTGTTTGTCCATAGCTTGTTTTAGTTTATAACAGTTTCACATTCTTCCTTATACAGTATTATCTATCATTATTTATGTTCATGTCGTAACTTTTACCAGATTGTAAGCCCCTTGAAGGCAAAGCCTAAATCTTCTTTGATCCTTCACAGAATTGAAGAGGGGCATAGACCCTAGACTGATGGTGGCATATCTCATTCAACATAGCCACATAGACCTTTGACTGTCTCCTCTTAGAGGACAGAAAATGAGAGTTCTGTGAGTGTAGATGTATCTTTAGTTAGTGAGAGAAAATTAGAGAACTAACACTGTGAGCATAGGCAAAGGGTGGTTCTGCCTGACAGCTTCCAGGGTGACTGAGTCTGTCTGGAAAGAGCAAAAGTGCTATCCCCTCGCTTCATGCTTCAATTTTCCCACCTCTGCTTCTGTTCACAGTCTCCTTGCCGATCGCCCTCCCCTCACTCAGCACACGTTAAGCACCCTATGTGCCAGGCACTGTGCTTACTGCTAGAGACGCAGAGAGGAGTTCGATGCCCTCTCAGACCTCTGCCATATCCTGGGGATCGGCCACTGTTGGCCGCTCGGGAGCTTGAACGTGCGAAAGCATGCACAGGTGTCTTGGACACTAGCCTTGTCTTTGAAGACGTTTTAAACCGTTCTATAGAATGCCTTTGAGCGCCACAGTCCCTCGTTCCTGCCTAGTCTGTGGCCTGGGGTCAAGCTGGTCTTCACAGTGGTTTTATGGACAAGGCGGTTGCAGCTGTGAAGCGGCAGGATTCTCACCCTCCTTTCCACGCGGCCAGAGTCTCCTGTTTTAAACTTCCTTTAGGCGTGGAGCAGCTACGTCTTCCATGATTTGTTGGGACCTGTAATTGTCAGCCTGTGTACTCTCGTGTGCCTGATAGAGCGTAAAGCCTAACAACACTAAAACCTTTTTATCAACGCTTATTAGCATGGGCTTTCTAGAGGGAGAAAAATGGCAGGGGTATGAACATGAAGGCAGGCGCCCGGGAATTTTTTTTGTTTGTTGCTCACTTTTTCCCTTTATTTCTCTGTTTCTAAATACATAGCTATGTCTTTTAGGGCCCTTGGTCTAATTAGAAGCTTGAGGCACAGACTTCATAATGATCAGCGATCTTCGTTTCTCACAGGCACTGAATGACGCCAAGCGGGAACTTCGCTTTCTTTTGGTTTATCTTCACGGGGATGATCACCAAGACTCTGACGAGTTCTGTCGGTGAGTGGGTCGGCATCTTCCCTGTCTTTCCTGACAGTTTATAGTCAGCACATTGTCCTCATGTTCTTTTCATCCTTTTCTGCAGCAACACCCTCTGTGCACCCGAAGTTATTTCTCTAATAAACACTAGGATGCTCTTCTGGGCGTGCTCTACAAATAGACCTGAAGGATACAGAGGTATGTTGTGTTCTTCTGCTGCATCTAGATTGAAGCGCGCTGGACGGTGTGGAAAGACACACCTGCCATTCATGACATGACTGGGCTGCGGCAGACACACCCCAGGGCTGTTGCTGTGTGATCCCGTGGCGTTCTCTTCAGCAGTCCCGAGAACTGGGAGCTACATTAACAGCACTTAGGGTTTAGGAGCAGGCTTAGAGACACCAGTCAGTCGTCACGGAACAATGTCCAGTCTGTCAGATGCTTGGACTCATCCAGTAACCATTGCAGAGCCTATTTTAGCGCAGTCCTGGCTGGGATCTTGCCTTTAATCTTTTAGTTTTTTGGCATAGGGCATGTGATCTTGCCAGAGAGAGAGGGAAAGTGAGAAATTATCCCCAGGAGAGGCTGGCCACACCGCAGTCCTTTCTCTTTCATTCTCTTATGATTTGTGACACACACAGACATGGACCTGGTGTGTTTTTCAAGCCACTGGGTCTGGGACTTGAACCAGGTAGTTGACCACATGGGATCCAGTGGCTTAATCTCTTCATCAGTATTTAACAGAGTTTCCTGCCCAGTATTTTTGTTGTCTGAATACCTCATGTACTAATAACGGATTCAGAAAGTTTGGATCTTTTCTAACCGTAACTCTCAGCTAGAGATTAGAAATAAGTACTTTTAAAAGGCACTACAAGATATGGAGGAATCCCATGAAGAAAAATACCGTCATAGTGAAGCTGCTTCTGCCCAGTAACCTTTGATGTCTGCAAGCACCGTGCCAGATCTTGAGGACCAAAGATGCAGCCCGTGTTCCGAAATCAGAGTCCTGATCCCTTTTTTGGGGTGGAAGGACTTTTTTCTACTGTAGGGCCCATGTACTCACTGGGGACAGAGAGAGAGAAATAGCGAAAAATCATCTCCTGGGGGATGGCCACACCATGTCACTTCTCCATTCTCGGGAGTTTGGGCATGTATGCACACGTGCCCAGTGTTAGTTTTAAGCTGCCGGGTCTGAGACTTGAACCGCAGTGAACTACATGGAAGTCTAGAGACACAACCATTACACCATCTGCTGGTTCCAGAGTCATGATTCGTAATAGTTTTTAAATATCTGGTAGTTCCTGTAATGGGCTTTTTGCCATTCTGATATGGCTAGGGAGTGGGGTGGATGTGAACAGGAGACTAAGGATATTTTTATCCTTTACCATAAGAAAACAAAACTCTGTGATGGTCGAAACTTGATTAATTGAAGACCATTTCTTCCAAACTTGTTTGGAACAGAAATGTTAGCCTTTTTTAAGGTGGATGAAAAACATGGAAAAGGGGATAAGGCAGAGGTTAGGCAAGAAGAAAAGACAGAGGAGGATGGTGGTAAAGCTCATGACAAGAGCGTCAGGCAGAGACCTCAACCTGTCCCTGTGGGCTCGACTCTTCACACGAGGAGAGACGGTACTCAGCTGTGGCGAGGGTCATCGTAGCTCTTTTTCCTGCCATCAACTAGATATTATGCTTGGACTCTGCAGCCTTCCCCAGCATCCTCTCAACCACACTTCCACCAGAAAAACCTTCTTATTCTAATCAAGCACCTAGGGATAGGGACACAACTATGTAACCACATGGAAAGAAACTTCAGAGGAAACGCAGAGCAAATCACACCTGTCTTGTTTCTGGACGCGGGTTGATGCGGTTCTCTCTCGCTCTTTGTGGAAAGTCCAAGTGTTGAACCGTTTCATTCCAAGTCCTGTCCTTGATCTATGGGGTCTTTCTGTTAGTCTCACAGGCTTTACGAGAGAACACTTACCCATTCCTGGCCATGATTATGCTGAAGGATCGCAGGATGACTGTGGTGGGACGGCTTGAAGGCCTCATTCAACCTGATGACCTCATTAATCAACTGACATTTATCATGGATGCAAACCAGACTTACCTGGTGTCAGAGCGCCTGGAAAGGTACGTGGGAGTTCCTTTCTGGAATGAGGACACCCACTGTAATTGTGACGGGCTGACCCAGGGCTCCACAAATCCTGACTTTTCCCTGTCTGAGGTACCTTTCAGAGTCTTGCCCATTTAGTGTCAAAGTGTTTATGTCGTATTAGTTCATCTGTTCTTAGAGAAAGGATTCACAGCATAGACAGGGCCGGGACAGACAGTGCAGTGGTAAAGCATGACGCTCTCTGAGGCCGACCCATGTGGAAAGGTTCCTGGTTCACACCCAGAGACCTCCTCGAGTTGACTAGGGTACAGGTGTTCCTGTGCTCTGGGGCTAGCTGGAGGTAGGTTGTGGCAGCCAGACCTCGTGGGGTACTGTCTCTGTCTCTCCACCCATGGAAGAAATAGATAAAATCACATTAAGTAGATAAAGGCAGGGCTCCATGTTCAAGTTTGTGTATTGTTCATTTAGAATAACTGAGCGCAATAGAACTTAAATGTGGAATGGTTATAGCTTCTCCCCCTGTTGTATAATTTACACACAGAAATTACAGAAAAGCATAGATCAGCAAAAGAAGAAACCAAATATTACTTAAAATCCTATCACTACTTTTTTTTTTTTAAGAGAGATTTTTGCTATTGGGTACATGAGCTTGCTGGAGAGACAAAGAGAAAAATCTGCCCCCAGAGGAGATGGTTATGCCACAGTCCCTAATCCTCCATTCTCCCTTTGGGATTTTGGGCATGCACGCACACCATGCCTGGCGTGAATTTTAAGCAGCCAGGTCTGGGACTTGAACTGCAGTCGACTACATTGGAGTCCAGTGACATAGCTATTATGCCATCTGCTGGCACCCCATCACTACTTCTAACATTACATTATATTTCCTTTTAATTTTATAGACACATACATTCCTATATACATGTATATATACTTTTTTTGAAAAATTGGAGTAATACTATTTTTCAAAAGACTTCTTACATATCAGATTATATATTATTATTATTTTTATTTTTATTTGACCAGAGAGATAGAGAAAGGAAAAGTGAGAAAGCAAGCTGCTAGGTCCAAAACTTGAACTGCTGTCTGCCATGTGAGAATCCAGTGTCTTAACCACCATGCCACCTGCTAACACCAGAGTAATACTATTGTTTATGCAATAATATATCACAGCATTTCTCCTTATCGTTAAACATTATTTTTTAAATTATTTATTATTATTATTTTAATTTGCTGTAGGGCACATGTGCCTACCAGAGAGAGATGGAGAGAGAGAGGCAGTAAGTGAGAAAATAAGCTGCCAGATGTCTGGAATTTGAACAGTGGTCATCCAAGTGGGAGTCCAGCACCTTAACCACCACGCCACCTGCTGGCTCCTATTTTAGATTTTAAACAAAGTGCAAAATAGTGTTTTATTTATTCAGTTGTTTTAATTAACTAAACATTTTTCTTGCTAAAAGAAAACAAATCTTCGGGACCAGCAGTTGGCGTAATGGCTATGTCGCTGGACTCCCATGTAGTCGACCATGGTTTGACTCCCAGACCTGGTGGCTTAAACTCACATTGGGCGTGTGTGCGTGCGTGCCCAAGATCCCAAGAGGAGAATGAAGGAGAAGGGATTGCGGTGTGGCCATCCCCCCGGGGGTGATTTCTCGCTTTCTGTCTGTCTCTCTTTCTAGTGAGCGCACACGCTCTATAGCAAAAAAAAAAAACACACACACAAAACAGATCTTCATAAGAGAGGAAATAGGAAATATACCAGTGTTAGTATGTCGTCTTCGATTAGTGGAGCTATATAGAATGATACGTTTTTACATTTGTCTTCTATGATGTGCATGAACATGTAGCTTTTGATCTTATAAAGGCATATGTATAAAGGTAAGTATAAAGATGCAGTGAGCAAAAGGCGTTTACTTTTAAAACATGGAGTTAACGGGCCGGCAGGAGATGGCAGGGTAGTTAAGGTGCTGGACTCCCATGTGGCCTATGGTGGTTCAAGTCCTGTACCCGGCGGCTTGCTTTCTCACTTTCCCTCTCTCTCTCTGGTGAGCACATGTGCCCTGTAGCAAATTAAAAAATAATGATAATGATAAATAATATTAAATATTTCTTTTAAAAAATACAAAGTTAATGGTCACTTCTTAACAATGATAGTCTGTTACTTTTGTTTTAATTGGAAAAATTGGGGGGCTGGCAGGTAGTGCATCCTATGGCAAAAAAATCTTTTTAAAAAAAGTTACAAGGGGCAGGACCACCTATCATTTCTTTTTCTGCCAAATTAAACTGAGAAGAGAGATGGTTTATTCAGGTCCTGCCATGGTCTGCTTTGGGAACCCCTGTGGAAATATCAGTCAAGGTCTTTGTGCCAAGGTTACCCACAGCCACCACCCCACCCTATTTCTTTCAATGTAAGAAAACAGAGCTTTGTGAGATTCCTGATTTTTGTCTACACGTTTGATGTGTCCACAGGGAAGAAAGAAACCAGACCCAGGTGCTGAGACAGCAGCAGGACGAGGCCTACTTGGCCTCTCTCAGAGCCGACCAGGAAAAAGAAAGGAGGAAACGGGAAGAGAGGGAGCGGAAGGGGC